GGTGGGGGGTTGGGCGTGGGGGAAGGGCCCTGCTGGGCGGTGGGATGGGGTCGGGGTGGGGTGAGGGTGGGCACAGTGCAGTGTGTGGAGGCCCCTGGGGGTCAGAGTTGGAAGGAGGCAGGGCCCACGCTGTTGGCTTGGGCGGGCAGGGTTGCCCTCAGCGTCAGGAGCAGCGGGCCCGTTGTAGAGGCCGGTCCCAAAACAGAGCCTGAAGGGACAGGCACAAAGGCAGCACACGCGCTGGTGCCCCGGCAGCAGTGGCGCTTGACTCAGGAAACATGCGGTCATTTGTTTGCTGGTTAGTTACTTCATTAGCTGTTAAGTCACAGCCTGCTTCTCCCCACGGTGGGACTGAGGCAGAAAAGCCCCCGTTTTTCAGAGTAGTTGGGGGATAAGATTCTGCTCGATAAGGTCCAGGGCCACCATCTCCACAGTAGATGGCCTGGCGCCTTCCCGAGAAACGGAGGACCTGCCGACCCCCGGCCGTCCAGGCTTCCTTTGCTTTGATATGACGTCCCCTCAGAGGGGGCCACACGGGCCCCTGTAGCTTGGATGCTGTATCGTCGCGTCTCCCTGCTGTGTTGCCCCGGTACAAACTCAGATCTAGGTTACCGCGACTTGGGAGACACACGTGTGGGTGACCTTTGGGTGCGCTGGCTTTGCCCACTTTCCAGGGTCCCTCCTTTTCCCCACCGTAGGATCAGGGGAGACCCTTCCCCCCACAATCTGCCTCTTTAATAGGAGGGCTTCCCCACGTCCCCCGCTGCCATCAGAAACTTGCAGGGCCACCTGCCAGTCTCGGCCCCAGCCCGTGAGACCCTGGCCACGTGGGGCCGTCCCTGGGACCCTGCTGTCACCCCTGGGCTGAGTGTGAAGCAGAGCACAGAGTCAGGGCGCCACCCCCTCCCCTGCTCACCTTACCTCCTCCAAATAGGTGACCCTTGGTTCACGTCTGCACGTCTGTTTCCTTCCTCTGTCCCTTCCCTGCACATCCACATGCAGGTTGAGCCACCTAAGCCAGGGAGGGATCTCTCCTTGGGGACCTCCCAGAATTCCGACCCCCCCCCCGCCAGCTCGGCGAGCGGTGGGCTGCCTTCCCAGACGCCCTGCAGAGGCAGGCAGGGTTCCCGGGGGTCTGGAGACCCGGGATGGTTCTGTGAGCCCTGCGGCCTGGCCTCTGGCATTGTTTAGGGAGGAAGCACTCATGCCGGCAGGTGGAGAGTGAGGGAGTTGTCATCCGTGGTTTCCTGTTAGGCTGAGTGTAAGGTGTCCGCTGGGATCCCCGGGGGCCTGTTGCATGGAGCTGCGGTGTTTACACCGTCCCTGGGAAACAGGTCAGGCCCTTTTGTGTGTTGAGGTAAACTTGGGGGCCACCTTTTCAGAGGTTGGGGAGAAGAGAGGAAGCTCACAGAGCTATGCAGCCTCCTATGCCCGTCTCCGAACCATCGGCCCGTGTGGATGAGGTACCCACTGCAGCAGCATCCTGCCTCCTCCTTGCAGGCCTGCAGCCCACTCTGAACTTTCCGGGAGCCGAGGCGAGGCCCAAGAAATCGGCCCAGCCCTGGGGGGCCTCTGCCTTTCCTCTTCACTGTGGGTTGTGTATCCAGGGTCAAGCAGGCGAACCCCAGAGGGTTCCAGGAGCCAGGTGGGCGCATAGCAGGAGTGCACAGGCCTCCTATGGAGAAGGTGGGCTCACTTCCAAGTAACAAACTCAAGGTCAAGCCTGCTGACCGAGGGGGACCGCTCCTCTACCCCTGCCCTTCGGAGGGGCTCCAGGGTCTGGGCTCACCCGGGGGGGTCCTTGTGAAGAACGGAAAGTGGAGACTCTTTCCTGTCCCTTCATATTTTTTAATTTTTAGTTATGAAACATTTCAAACATAAAGTATAGCAAACGGTAAAAGGGACACCTATGTATCCACCTTTGAAATGAGATGTTAAAAATAAACATTTCCAGTACAGCCAGAGAGGGACAGGAAAGGCTCTGCCAGGTGTGGGGCAGCCCAAGGGCTCGGGGCATGCACCTGCCCATCTGCAGCATAGTCAGGCCCTCCGTTCTTTTCCTACAAAACACTGTCCTGCCAAAGCCCGAGGAGCTGGAGCGGAGACCGCTGTTGCCTTTTAGGGATACGTACCGGCTCCCGGGTTAGATCAGGCTGCGTGCATTATTGAATTTATCCTCACAACCACCTGTAAGGGTGATTGTTTTTTCTCATTTTGTACATGAGAAGACGGAGGCTCAGAGTGGGCAAGCAATTTGCCCAAGGTCTCACAGCTGGTAAAGGGCAGAGACAGGATTGAACCCAGGACTGAACATGCAACCTGTGCTTTTAACAAGCAGCTTTCAAAAGGTGTGTCTGGGCCCGTACTGTGCTGGAGTCGGGGAGCCTCTTCCGACAGGAGGCTGAGTGCCCGGAGCCTGGCTGTGCTCTGCACCTGGCCCTGCTCACCACGTGGCCCAGCTGCTTCTTTCCCGCTGCCTTGTGCGTGGCCTGTTGTGAGTGGAGGGGAGGGCGAGGCCGCACCCCTGGGGCCGCAGCAGCAGAGCCCCAGGCCTATCCTCTGCTTGGGTGGATCACACGCAGGGAGATGGCCCATAAGCCCCGTCCCGTCCTCTCGGAGCTGCCTTGGCTGCTGGGAGGGAGTCCTGCTGGACCGGCCTTTGTGACTCGCCCTGTCAGGGTCTGTCCTGCTTTCCCCGTCTGCCTTGAGCCTCTCTGGTCTCCGCGGGCTGCCTTGCTGCTCCCCGTGGGTGTCCTTTCAGGAAACCAGCCAAAGCAAGCAGTGAGGTGTCCGCCCGCTTATCAGCCTCGGAGCTCAGGATCTGTGCTTTGAAAGTGTGCTGCTTTTTAAGCACGTGCGCCAGGCCCTGAGTCGTCGGGACACCTGAAATGCGCAGGAGGCGTCTTCCCTTTGTCTCGGCCGCTGTGGACGCTCGGTGCCTCCTTCACGGGGCCGGGCAGACAGAGCTGCAGAGGCCAAGTGGCCTAGATGTGCCACTAGGGTCTCCATCTCACAGGCTGCCCATACCCACTCCCCTTATTATAGGTCTGGGAGCCTCAGTGAGTAGTTTGGAGAGTGTGGTCCCTGGAGGTCTGGGGCTGCCTCTGGGAGTGACACTTGGTGGGGGGACAGTCGAAACACTGGGGGCCAGTGGCAATCGGCCTGAGGGGCAGGATGCAGACAGTGCTGGGCAGCATGAGGAGGGGTCCTGGAGGGCGGCTTTCCTCCAAAAGATGAGGGGGGATCAGCACAGAGAGGACTTGTAAAGGGGAGCACGGTATGTGCGCAGGGATCTCAGGGCACAGCGAGGACACGTGTGCACCTGGGGAAGCCGGGCCACATTCAGGCTCCAGGCAAGGGCTGAAGGGGGGCCCCTGAAGGCTGAGAACAGGTGGGGATGCCAGGCAGGTTCCCCTGCCCTTCTCGATGGTGGTGCAGACGGAGGGAGGACTGGGCGATGTTCTGCAGGAGCCCTCGGGTGTGCGGACATCGCACGCGGCCCTGTCCTTGGGGAGTGGACCGCCAGTGGGAGAGGCCAGAAGCCAGGCTCCATTGGCTGGGCCAGTCGTAACCCCAGTAGGACCGGAGGGCGGGGCCTGAGAGACGCAGGCCAGGCCTGTTGCCCACTTGGTTTGCCCTCAGCCTCTGCCTCCAATGTCTCTCGAGATTCCACCCCCTCTGCCGTAGCGATTGGCCCAAGGCCAAGTTTGACCTGTGCTGTGGCTGTGGGGTGGAAAGATGCACTGGGCCAGAGTCCTATTCTCCAGGATTTAAACTGGGAAGTAATATGGGGAAACTGAGTCAGCTGTGGGAATTGGAGTGGAAAGTGGCCAAGATGGGTAGGTAGTGTGTCCTAGCTCGAGCTAGGAGGACTCGGGATGAGTTAAGGATGCCCATTCCAGGGGCTTCCCTGGCCGTCCAGGGGTTAGGACTCTGCGCTTCCACTGCAGGGGGCACGGGTTCGATCCCTGGTCGGGGAACTAAGATCCCGCAAAACAAACTAGGCCCGCTGCCTGCTGCCCCTGGGAGAAGGACCTCATCTTTCCTAAGCCTCCAGTGGCTACTGGGCCCCAGCGGCATCCTGGATGGCTGTCTCAGGGGCTTGTAGCCTGCCCTCCTCTTCCTGGGCCCTGCAAAGTGGGAGGAGGCCTGGTGCCATCAGCCAGCTAACGGCAGCTGAGTACCCCACTCCGCCAGCCTTCGGTTCTCGTCCGTGTCTCCAATAACCAGAGGTGCTGTGCTTGTCGGGAGCTCTCTGGGCTGCGTGGTGTTTGCTGTAGGGA